CCAGAAATAATTGGGGAAGGGAATGCATATCTATTATATATATATAAAAGAAAAATGGGGGGTTTTGCTACAAAAGAATACCCACAATTCAAACACTCTGCTGAAACAAAAAAAAATCCCTCACCTACCCCATGCAGTTCACCCAAAAAAAGGGAAAGGTGCCAGAAACTCACAGATTCATAGATGTTAGGGTCGGAAGGGACTTCAATAGATCATCGAGTCTGACCCCCTGCATAGGCAAGAAAGTGCGCCGGGTTCAGATGACCCCAGCCAGATACCAATCTAACATCTTCTTTAAGACCCCCAGGGTAGGGGAGAGCACCACCTCCCCTGGGAGCCCATTCCAGATTTTGGCCACTCTAACTGTGAAGAAGTTCTTCCTAATGTCCAGTCTAAATCTGCTTTCTGCTAGTTTATGGCCATTATTTCTTGTAACTCCCAGGGACGCCTTGATGAGTAGAGCCTCACCAATTCCCTTCTGCGCCCCCATGATGAATTTATAGGCAGCCACAATGTCGCCTCTCAACCTTCTCTTGCGGAGGCTGAAGAGGTCCAGGTGCCCTAGTGTCTCCTCGTAGGGCTTGTCCCCCCCATGAGGGGTAGAGCACAGATCGAGGCCCCAGTGGTAAGGGAGGGAGCAGGGCATGGGCAGTAGCAGGGGCTGCAGGGAGTGGGGCCTCAGCTGGGCCGGGTGGTAGGACAAGCCCCAAAGGAAAGCGTGACCTGGCACTGAAGGAAAAAAAGGGACATGGCCCAGCCCCAACCTGGCCCTGTGGGGAAAAAGGGTGTGTGGCTTGGCCCCAACCCAGCCCCATGGGGGAAGTGGAGATGGCCCAGCCCTGATCCAAAGGTGGGGAGGGGGCACGGCCTAGTTGCAACCACCAGTGCTGTTCCTGGAGTTTGGGAATTTGTCGGGGGAGGTAGGGAGGGGATTGTTAATGGGCACCATTCCCCACCACCACATTTCCCAAGGAGAGCCCTATGGGACAAATATGATGGCTCCACCGGCTGCATTTGGCCCGCAGGCCAGAGGCTGAGCACCCATGACCTAGGCAAAATGCAGTGTAATGTGAATGTAATGCATGTAACAGCAGCTGGAGCCAGGAAGCAGTGTGCAGAGCTGTGCTGGTTGTTAATGTGGACTGCAACTTCCAGCAACCCCCAGGGGGTGGAGGGAAAGGAAAAATAAAGGGGGAGCTAGGGGAAGAGAGCGCAGCCTGTGTCTGGCACCTGGGCTGTTTACAGAAGTGCTCTGTGCACATTTTACAGTGCTGGTATTTACAGCACTTTTTCTAGCACTGTAAAGTTACAGCACTCTTTAATGTGACAGAAATGCAGTGCTTGGGGATGGCAGGGGGAGATCTAAGCCTCCCTGCACTTTCCAAGCTAGGAGGCAGGGACGGCTCTGCACCTGCCACCTTTCCACTGGTCCGAAATGTGACCATTATACACAAGTTATTTAAACCGCTGTAGGTTGCTAAAATGCAGAAAAGTACAGTACTTCAAATGTAATACTCTTTTAAGAAGAATTTAAAGTGCTGTACCCATTCTAAAGTGCTGTATAGTCGTGCACTTCTGTTTAGTCACGGCAATAAGGCGCTTTAAATGGCAAAAAAGCAACTTCTGTACACACCCCTGGTCAGCCCTACACAGAGACTGCTAAGATCCCACAGGCTCAGTCAGCCAGACCCACAGGCTGAAGGCGCTGGACTCAGACTTGGGGCAGCTGCTGTTTGAGCACTTTAGGAAATAAAGGCTTGTTTGGGACAGCACTGGAAGGAGGGGGGTAGAATTAAGGTGCTGAGTGAGAACTTTTACACTCTTTTCTCCAATGCCTGATGAAGGGCATTTGTGCCCGAAAGCTTGCAATTAAATATGAGGTTTTTTGCAAAAAACCTTGTTGGTCTATTAAAAGATAGCATCTCTACTGCAAGTCCTGATTGCCTTTTCCTCCAGACCAATACGGCTACAACCTGGATACCTGTTACCAGTGTTGTTTCTTTCTTTACATTGTACTCATTCCCTCCCTTGGCCCATGGGCTCGTGCCCCCAACCCCTAGGATTTTTTGTGTGAATGTGGGAACTCCCCCTCACTTCCTGTGCCAGTTTGTGGGGCTGCAGGTTTGGCACAACAGACCAGTCAGCTGCTACTTCTGTACGCGGGGTAGTTACAGCCCATGCTGGACTAAATCTAGCCTCCCTGAGCCTGTGGCCAGCGCCTGCAGGTCTTCACTGTCGGGCGTTTATTTCTACAACAGAGTTATCGGGACGGCACCCAGCGGAGGGTTTCAGCCCCGAGCTCGAAGCTGCAGGGCTGCGGCGCAAACGAGGCCCCAGGAAGAGACAGCAGGCAGCGCCCTTGCAGAGGAAACAATGGTTTGAAGAGCGCAGCGCTAAAAAGGCCAGCGGGGCGGGGCGCTGCCAGAGACGCACTCAACCCGGCTCCGCGGAGCCCTGGGGCTTTGTAACCTCCCTGCGGTTTTCGTTCTTTTTTCTATTTCCATCCCAACAAAAACCAAAACACCTCTGCAAAGTGTCTCCCTCCTCCGGGCGCCCACAGCCCTGGCCCCCTGCCCAAACAGCTCGGCGCAGGGACGGGTCACCCCAGAGCTCGCCGCTCTACGGGCAAAGAAATAGCAAGGGCTTCGGATCCTCCCTGCGCATGCGCCGAGGGCTGAGGGTTGGGAGACGGACAGAGCATTTGTCCCTCGGCCCTTTCCGTCGTTTTGTAGGCGTCTGTACTGCTTGTTTCTTTTCGGCTGCCTTACTGAGACATGGCGGAATATTCTTCTGTGAAATCTACTAAGCTCGTTCTCAAAGGGAAGAAAGAGAAGAGGTGAGCAGGGAGCGGGCCGGGGCGGAGCTGGGGGCCGGGCCGCTTCCCCACTACGCGGGGCCCTCGCCTTGCGCCTCCTGCGGCTGCTGGGCTGGGCCCACGCAGACCCGCTCCCCTCCCCCGGGCACGGGCGCGCTGCCTGCAACCCGGAGTGGGGGCAGCAGCTGGTTGTGCCCCTGTGTGTCGCTCCGCAGCAAGAAGAAGCACAAGGACAAGAAGAGGAGGAGAGAAGAGCAGGAAGCGCATGAGCTTGACGTCGTGGGTGAGTTGTTCCCGCCCGCCCGCCGGGACCTGGCCCGGGATCCTGGTGCCGGGGCTACCGACGCGCCTCAAGCGCCCAAATGTGCAGCCTCCTTCTCCTTCCTTGTCCTGTTTCCCACTACCCCAAAGCCCCTTCTCTCCACCCGCCCCATTCCTTTCTGTGGGACCACTTTCCTGTGCGCACAGCTCTGGACAGAGTTTCGTTAACTGCTCTGTGTCCGCTGCTCCTTTGGCAATGCACAGGGGGTGCACATGCACCTCCTGAGTGTGGCAGTGCACCCCAGGAAAAAGGCACCGCTGACACTGCCGGTGGCACCTGTGGGCAGTCGCTGCTC